ATAGATAGATAGATAGATAGATAGATAGATAGATAGATAGATAGATAAGACAAAGAAATTGCCCATCTCACATTGAAATGTACTAAGTCACAAAAGGATCATCATTTACCCATCCTAGATTATCTCCAATGATAAAAATTACTTCATTTTTCATTATCTCAACTTCACATGCCATGAATCTAAGATTGTTCACTTCTTAAAAGCACATTGTGCTACTGTGAGCAGATAAGAAGTCATCATGCCTTCTCCACGAGCTGCAAGGAGCAAAGACTCCTTCCTAGTCAGGATTCTACCTTCCACAGCAAAGCCCCTAGTGACCCAAAGCTCCTGTCTACTGGCATACTTTTAATTCATAGACATCCCCTTCCCATTGCAGTGTCTATCCCAGTCTACTCACCCATTGCTTCCTGTTCCTTTTTAGTTCTTCTGTAATTTTAGATTTTCCCTGTGCCAATATTTTTATTTGTCCAATTGGCTGCTTGGTTTATGTCAACTTGACATGGAGCCGGACATGGGAAAGAGGGAAACTTAACTGAAACAATGTCTCTAATAAGATTGGCTTGTGGGGGTATTGTACGGGTTGTGGGAAGGCCTAGGTCACTGTGGGTGGGGAGTGCCCACTGCCCTTTCTGAGCAGGTGGTCCTGAGTTGTATACAAAAGTGGCTGAACATACCATGGGAGCAAGCCTGTAAGCAATGCTCCTCAGGGCCTCTGCTTCAGTTCCTGCCTGCAGTGTCCTGCCTTCAGTTTCTGCCCTGACTTCCCTCAGTGACAGAGTGCGGCCTAGCAGTTGTAGGACGTAATAAACCCTCTCCTCTTCAGGTAGCTTTTGGTCATGGCCTTTTATCGCAGCAGTAGAAGTCCTCACTAGGACACACATGTTTCTTTTAAGTCTGTATTTTGCTAAACTGTCTTTCTTTTTGCCTCTATTTAAGAGCTCAAGACTTCCTTCCAGATACCATTTTCAAAGTCATCCTTTAGATAGCTATAACATTAACGTACATCAATAAATGGTCAAATTACAGGCCTTCTCTTCAGTAGAAGGCCTGTGACACTAACACCTCTTCATTATAGCTTAAGTTTTACTCACAAAGCTCTCGGCCATCTGCCAGCATCCGTGCGTTAATCTACAGATGACGGTTACGAGACGTCTTTTGTGACATGCATGCTCATTGGTGTCAGTTTTCCAGTTCTTTTGCTGAGCCAAATGATACAGTTAAGACAAGTCACCTTTCACAGTCCCCTGAGAGCAAGCCGCTCTGGCATACTAGAAAACCAGCAGAAGCTTAGCCTAGAACAGCTGGCACAACCAGAGCAAAGTGTCTCTCGATGGAGCCTTGTGGACTAAAGCAGAAATTCATTTCATCTTATCTTAAAATCTTATCTAGAAAAAAATCATCTACTTACAGCTTCCCTTGAGCATTGAAGCCATATTTGTCTTCAGTCCAGAGGCTGGATTGTGGGGTTTATGCTGCAAAGGTCCTGAAGCCTCTCCCTGGGCTCTCTTTCACAATGTGTCCCCTCTATTGCAGCTATTCCTCTGCTGAAACAGGAACTTTGACAACATTTGGCTTAGAAACGTTTGTTTATAAATGAGATCAAAAGTACTTTTCTCCTATTTAATAAATCCCTATCCACATGTGTATAAACAAACCTGCTTCTTGATGCTGCTTATAGGTAGGAAAACTGCCTCGGGTTCTATTTGGGGACGGCAAATGTGGCTGAAAGAATTGTTTGCTTTTAATATTTAACTAATAAATAAAATTAGAGTCCTTGTCATATTATTTTTCATTGTTCTGTTTTGAATTTTTTGAATATATGTGTGTATTTATGGAGGAGCGAACCCGAGGCTTCATTTATGCTCGACAAGTGTCCCATCACTAAGCTACATATGCAGAGTAATGATCTAGTTTAAATAGAAAAAGAAAAGGGATGGTAATTGTAATACATGTTTTTAATCCCAATGCTTAGGAGGCAGGGCAGGAAGATCTCTTTAAGTATGAGGCCAGTCAGAGCCGCTACACAGTGAGTCTCTGACTCAAAAACAAAACAAACAAACAGAAAACCCAAACAAACAAACAAACGAAAGCAAATATAAAGGATCACCCTTTCATTAAGCGGGACAAGTCAGAAATGTGACTAAAAGACATGCCTGACTCATTAATATTACAGAAGCTTCTCAGTTCATTTTGAGCCCTGAGGTAAATCAATATTTTTGTTTTATAACTCCAACAAAACCTATACCGCTGTCTTCTTTATTGTCCCTAACAAGCTTCTTACCAAGGTTTGCTTCAGTAATCAGATGTATTGGGTTTTTTTTCCTGTCATATACAATAAAGTAGAATCTTCAGCATCAAATTAAGAGGTTTATATACTACATAATATTTTAGAGTATCTATTATGGCTGTATTAACTCATTCTTTACATACTGATTTTAGATCACTGAACTAGCAGGCTATACTGCTAGAGTCTACAATATGTTCTGGGTCTTTGATGAAGTGAAAAGAGGCATTTATAAGAGAAATGTCACTCAGGAGCCTGACCAGCATAGCAAGAATGGAGGGAACGTGGAGCTACCTCTCAGTGACACCCTAGCAATTAAAGGTAACTAATTTCAGGGGGTTTCATGATGTGGGATTCAGTGTCGTCTTATGAAAAGAACTAAAGGATTCTTTTCTAGAAAACAGCTTTTCAGAGTTAAAGAAACTAGAATTTGGACAGCAAACATTATTTAAATAGCGGCCTGTAATATTGTGCTGACAAACAGGGAAGGAAGGAAATGTGGCAGTGACATTCTGGGAAATGTCTTCATGTTGTGTTTGCAGACAGCACACGTAGCTGAAAGAATCGTTTGCTCTTAAAGTTTGAGCTAATAAATAGAACTAATTCCACTGCCTGATTGTTTTTCATTATTCTACTTCTAAATGTTTGTCATGTATTAAAATATTTCACTTCCTAATTCGTTTCTTGGAACAGTGTAATTTTTTTTTGTTGGAAATAGAGGAACCGAATAACTCTACTTGTGTGGCTAGGTTACATCAGATAGAGTTTAAGTCTGTGAGAATAAAGATACTGATTTTGATTTTAAGATTCTTTTCTCAGAAACATTTTCTAAGTGGATTTAAATATAGATGTTAAATTGACTCGTGTATTTTTATTTTTTCCCTATGACTTATAGATGTGAATTATCTTTATAATTGAGTTTATTCATTCTATTGTATTATTCAAATTAATTAGCAGTAACTTGTGATGGCCTTTGTAACACAAACTATTCCTTGATTACAGGAACAGTTATTGATGTGGATCATGGAATCATTTGTGAAAATGTGCCCATAATTACACCAGCAGGAGAAGTGGTGGCTTCAAGGCTAAACTTCAAAGTAAGATGATAGTCAAGAATCTTCTGGTTGTTGGCCTCACACTAATAGAAAACAACTCAGAATTCATGTACCTTATGTTAAATACTTGGAGAGGAGCGTGTGGAAAAGGGGAAGTCAAAAAGGTATGCACAGCGGCTCAGTTGCAGCAGCAGTAACTTCCTCAGAAAGCAGAGAGAAAAGAGAACTTTCATTTTAGCTGCTTTAGTGCTAGGTTGAAAATCAAATTACAGATCACTGAGACTTGTTCAAGGTAGTTTTGGGGAACAAGAGGAAATATCACAAAGTAATATCTGGAAATGAATTTTAACTTTTTATAAAAGTTATTAAGAAATCTGTAAGACTACAGTCTTACATACTTTCTAAAAGTATTGCCTTTCCCCAAAGGTCATCATCAAATTCAGTTTATCTAATACATGTTTTCTAACTTTAATTTCTACTTTAAATAATCAGAATATTCATGGATACAGCTTCAGGTTTTAATTCTGTTGAAAAAAATTGATTTAATATTCTATATATTAATTACAAAACTAAGAAGTACAAGAACATTTTGTCAGTCCATGGCTCTGATTTTAAAGCTCTGTGAAATTTAAACATACATTTAGAACTAAGAATAAAATGGCAAACATTTTGTATTAGGTACTTAAGTCATTGTGTCAGTACACTGAAAACTTAGAAAGAGGAAGTATTTAGTTGGTTCCTGGTTTTAGGGGATCTACTTAGGGTTGAGCCGTCTCACAGCTTTGGGCCTGAGAAATAGTTGAGCATCTTCCAGGAATGAGTACCAAAGGAAAGTCCTTAGTGCACGCTAGATAGCAAGTAGAGAAAGAGAATGCACGAAGGGTCAGATCAAGGAACAATCTGAGGACACGTTTCCACTGACCTTTTCCTTCTAGGTAGGACTCATGTCCGAGGCTCTCCACCACCTTCCAAAATGTAACCGAAGTTAGAGACTTAGTGATTGACACATGATTCGAGGGGGGACATTTCAGATTCAAACCATACCAACTAAAATGAAGGCAGCTGAGCCATGTTTAAATGAAGGTATGATAAGACTTCATGACTATTGAGTCATGAACACCATAATACTAATGATTTTGGAATAGATCTTAGCCTAGGCTTAATTATTAGAGATATATTTGCAATTGATTAAGGTTACTGAATATTGAAAAGAGAGGACTCAATACATTAAACACATAAGAAATTCTATTAATAAATTTGAGAGAAATAACTTGGTCAGGATTTATCAACCTACAGAATGGTTTTATTATTAGAATAGGACATGAGTACCAATTAGCTACTCACTTCAAATATGAAATATTTTATTATCTATCAATACTTAGGTAATTTAGACGGGGATAAAGCTAAGTGCTTAGGGTGCTTGCCTTGCATGCAAAGACCTTGAGTTCAGTCCTCACCCTGGAAAACAAAGTAACAGAAACAGTCTGTGATTTTTTATGACTCTGTGTTTTTGTAGTTGCTTTGTCAGTGTAGGTAATATATTACTGGTTCTTATTGCTCTAATTTTTAAATAAATAGGTGACAAGGCCTGAATTACTATCTTCTAACTACGCCACTGTAGAGCCCTCATACTCTGAATTAAAACCCAGAGCTCAGCCTCTTGTAGAAAATAAACAGTAATCCAATAGAAGAAGCTTACAAACTTTAAAAATACATAAAGATGTACATTGTTACAACATACTGTTTGCTATTATATTTGCCCCTGGAAACTGTATTTCAATTCTAGTCTCCATAGAATAGGATAAAAAGTTGTGTCTTTTCAGTATTAATTGGGAAATACAAAATTATTGCTTTTGGTTGGTCAAGACAGGGTTTCTCTGTAGCTTTTGGAGCTTGTCCTGGAATATGCTCTGCAGACCAGGCTGGCTTCAAACTCACAGAGCTCCCCCAGTCTCTGCCTCCTGAGTGCTGGAATTAAAGGTGTGCACCACCACCACACAGCTGGAAAACCCATATTCTTTAAGGGAAATGATTTTCATCCTATCTGTTGTACTTTAAAATTAAAATTTTGACTTATCAAAAAATTCAAAGTGTATTTAATCAGTATTTACTGAGAACTTTTGCTAAAGAAATATATAAATATAAAAAAGTTTTCCAACTTTAAAAAACATGTTAAATTTCTAGGAACTCCTAATAGAAACTGACCCTTTTAGAGCATTTTAAGAATGTACTACTCCAAAAATCTACTGGAGAGTACTCATGCATCTGTCAAATTAATCATCCATCGTCAAGTAATATAGGAGAGAAGACACATGTCAGAATTCATTCTTTGTATGTTCTCCTCAGGACCTTCTGGAATGCCACCAATTCACCTTTGTGTTTGTTTTTGGCATTTGTGTCTTCTCTATGACAGAAAGTAAGATTTTTTTGTCCATTTCGTGGAAATATAAACACATAGACATCCTGTAGAGAGCTCTGCCTCTTGTCCCTTCATCTTATCTTCTTTTTCGCACCACTGATTATAAAACAGATCAAATCTGTAAGCAGCATTCCTGTCCCTTGCTCTTCATGATGTCCTGCACGTGGGATAGGAAGGCAGCCCCCCCACCCTACTGAGCACAGTGCAGAGACCCGAAGTCCAGCTGTTTAAATGTAATTGGTAACTAAGACAAATGATAAAGGGGAGCTTCTGATAACAAGTAACTTGTTTTATCAGTGGATGATATACGTATATGATCACAACTTATATAAAGAGGGTGGATATTTTATGTGTATATAGTCTTCCTAAGTGAGAGATGGGCTCCATGACACCCAAACCTGATAACATTCAACCCCTTTATGTTATATTTTATACAGAAAAAGGTTCTGTACATATTCGATACAGGCACAACCTTTTTTTTTCCTTCAATTATTTAAATCCTTAGATAAATGACTCTTCAGAACTAGAGTCTGGAATATGGAGACTTGCTTATATGTGTTTAAATTCAACTTCAATCATACTTTATGGTACAGTGCCCTTGCTTTCATCTGGTTTTGTTTCATAAGTATATTTATTACATTTGTGAATGAAGCAGACTAAGAATAATCTTTTCTCTTTGATTGTGTGCTTTTGTAGCATTT